ACAACAAAAAATCTTTAAAGACCCACTTCTGATTTCTGGGGCGTGCACTACAATCTTGAAGGCATGCAGTTTGAATCCACAGGCTGCTTTGTGGAAAGATGGGCAATCTCCTCCTGTGTGATTTCCTGCCTCTGAAAACCTGCTGGAGGGTTAGCTATGAGTTCATTCTGACTTGATGACATACTACAACTGATTTCTAGCTGTGTGAAATCACTGTTCTTTGTACAAGGTAAGTCCAGATTCCAGTAACTGTAGATGCTCAGCAACTGAATGATAGCAAACCATATTTTTCACACTGGACTAAAAATGACTGCACGTGTCCTCACTATACTGTTTCTAAGATCAGAGACTACATTTCACTATCTTTACTTCCTAGTGCAGCATTTCTTACCAAGAGGATATTAATAGTTTTAAATGAATAGAGTCAAGTGGAAGAAATCCCTGTAGCCAAAGTTGGACCAATGTGAGCAATAAAACAGTCAAATTGAATTACATCCCAAAATATAGATGTTTTGAATTAATAATAACTCAATAAATTATGGGACAAAAGAAAGTAGTAACAAATCTCCTATGCAGAACAATTTCAAATAAATTATGTACTATATCCTTCCTAAAAAATAAGTAGGAAACTAACTATTCCTTCAACGTGGGTTACCATATTGTAACTTCCTTCTAGGATAATTTAAATGTGGATGATTGACTATGTGAGTGTGTAGGACTATGAGAATGGGGCGTGTTGGTGTATCCACAAGAAAAACTGGCCAGTCTCAACAATCTACAAGAAGATTGGCTAGTCTTGCCCTCACCAATAAATTGAACAGCTCCAGCTGCAGAGATGAAATCCTCCCCTGCCAGAGAAGAGGAAAGAGACCTTTCCCACCCTGGTGAAGAGGAGGTAAGAAAATGTAGGATACGCTTCAGGACAGCAGCAGTAGGCATGGCCGAACAGGAGTACTAACATGAGATGAGACTTTGGGGGGCGAGGTTGGAGGGGGTGTCAATATTGGAATAACTGAGACCTTTGTTGGACAATTGAGGATAGCCAATATTATTAGATGGTCAGGAAGGGTAAAGGTCAGACATGGTGCTCCCCATGCGGCCCTTGCTCTTTTTACAACAGTGTAGAATGGAAGGGAGAAGAATGCTTTCAAAGAAGAGAAATCTGGCATGCACTATGTCAGCCAAGTGATGACTGCTAATTTCAACAGATGAAACCATGCTGATGGGATGTGTCTCAGAGATAATGTAGTGACACTGGTAATTTACTTCTGTAAACTCCCTACTCAGAATTTCTAATTCCACCTTAATTTTAAGGAAGAATATCTTAAAAATTCCAATTTTTCTAAGGCACAAGCTGTATCTCTTTAGAATGCTTTAAAACTATGACAAAAAAACACTTAAGACAATGCCACAGGCTAGAAGACTAAGAAGACATGACAACTAAATATAATAGAATTTTGTAAAAACTAAAGAAAGCTGAATAAACTTGGACTTTACGTAATGATAATTTGTCAACAGTTTTGGTTACAAAAACTGCCCCACACAAACTCTATACAGGAACTGTCCATGAGGGAAAAGATCTAAGGAAACTCTCTGTACCATCTATTTGAGTTTTCTATAAATTTAAAGCTGTGCTATGGGAAGTTCTAGAAATGACTTTTTACAGGATAATATGCATACACATACAAGGAAGTCCAGTAAATACCACCACCATTCAAATCTACACACCAACAACCAGAGCCAAAGAGGAAGAAATAGAAGACTTCTATCAACCTTTATAGTTGAAGATCGATCGAACATGAAATTAAGATGCATTAATAATTACAGGTGACTAGAAAAAAAGTTGGGAACAGAGAAAGATCTAGTTGGAAAATATGGACTTGGTGACAAAAATGAAGCTAGAGACAGAATGATAGAATTTAGCACATCTACGACTTATTAATGGCAAATACATTTTATGAGAAACATAAACGCAGGCTATACACGTGGATTTCTCTCAGATCAATTAAATCTGTGGAAAGAATCCCTGGAGAAGGTCATTATCAGCTGATAAAAGTAGGCCAGGTGCTGATTGTGGAACAGACCATCAACTACTCATATGCAAGTTCAAGCTGAAGCTAAGGAAAATTAAATCAAATCCATGGGAACCAAAACTTGATCTTGAATCTATCCCACTTGAATTTTAAAACTGTCTCAGGAACAGGTTTGAAGCCTTGAACACTAATGAGCAAAGACCAGACGAGCTGTGGGAGGATATAATGAATACCATACAGAAAGAATGCAAAAGGTCATTACAAAGACAGAGGAGAAAGAAAAGACTAAGACGGATGTAAGAAGAGACTTTAAATATTGCACCAGGATGCCAAGAAGCCAAAGCAAAAGGAAAAAATCAAGATATTAAGGAGTTGAACAAAAGATTCCAAAGGGCAGAATGAGAAAACAAAGTAAAGTATTACAATGAACTGTGCAAGGGGCTGGAGTCAGAAAATCAAAGGAGTTGAACTCGCTCACCATTTCTTAAGTGAAGGAACTGAAGAACAAATTCAAGCCTAGGGTTGCAATACTTTAGGATACTTTAGGCAGAATATTAAATGATCCAGGAAGCATTAAAATAAGACGGAAAGAGTAGACAGAGTCATTGTACTAAAAGGAATTGGTGAACAGAGAATTTCATGAAGGAAGTTCAAACTGGTCTGAAAGAACTGGCAAAAAATAAGGCCCCAGGAATTTATGACATATCAGTTGGCATATTTCAACAAACAGATGCTGCCCTGTAAGTGTTCACTAGGCTGTGCCAAGAAATCTGGAGGACAGACATCTACCTGGCCAACTGACTGGAAGAGATCTGTATTTTTTCCCATTCCAAAGAAAGGTGACTCAACAGAGTGCAGAAATTATAGAACAATATTATTGATATCACATGCAAGCAAGATTCTGCTGAAGATCTTTCAAAAATGACTGTAGCAGGACATCAGAGAACTGCCTGAAATGCAGGCTAGGTTTAGAATAGGCTGTGGTACTAGGGATACTATAGCTAATGTTAGGTGGATCTTGGCTGAAAGCAGAGAGTACCAGAGGAATGTCTATTTGTGTTTCATTGGCTATGCAAAGGCATTTGACTGTGTGGATCACAACAAACTGTGGTTGACTCTGAGAAGAATGGGAATCGAAACTGTGGCTGACTCCGAGAAGAATGGGAATCCCAGAACACTTGATTGTGTTTATGTGAAGCCTATACTTGGACCAGGAGACAGTTGTCAGAACAGAGCAAGGAAACACTACATGGTTCAAAATTGGGAAGGATGTACACCAGAGATGTGTCCTATCTCCATACCTTTTCAACCTATATGCAGAACAGATTATGCAGGAGTCTGGGCTCTATGAGGAGAAATGTGACATCAGGATTGGAGGTAGATTCACCAACAACCTGTATTATGCAGATGACACAACCCTGCTTGCTGAAACTGAGGAAGACCTGAAGCACTTGCTGTAGAAGGTCAAGGACTGCACCCTTCAATATGGATTGAAACTCAACATCAAGAAAGCAAAGATTCTCACTACTGGGCTGACTGGCAGTATCATGATAGATGATGAAGAGACTGAGATTGTTAACATCTTTAGTTTGCTTGGCTCTACAGCCAACACTCTTTTTACCATCAACCAAGAAATTAAAAGACAAATTGCATTGGGAAAGTCTGCTGTCAGAGACCTCTCCAAAGTACTAAAGAGCAATGATGTCCATCTGGAGACTAAGGTGTGCCTAATACAAGCCATAGTCTTTGTCATTACTTGCTATGTGTCAGGAAGCTGGACGATGACTAAGAATGATAAAAAGAGAATTGATGCCTTTGAGCTGTGGTGTTGGAGTACTGAATGTACTATGGACTGCTAGGAGAACAAACAAGTTCATCCTAGAGAGGGTGAAACCAGGCTGCTCCTTGGAGGCAAGGATTCTAAAGCTTCATCTAACATACTTTAGACAAGCTGCAAGGAGGGCTCAGTCCTTGGAGAGAGACATGCTTGGGAGGGTATACAGACAGCAAAAGAGAGGAAGACCCTCGATGAGACAGACTGATTCACTCACTGGGGTAATGGGTGTTAGTGTGTCAAACACAGTAAGATTGGCACAGGATAGAGCAGGCTTTAGGGCTGCTGTACACAGAGTTGCTATGAATCTCAAGCAACTCAATGGCACATAAGAACAATAACAACGGGGAGTTCTAGTGGCCCAGTGGTAAGGAATTGCACTGCTAACCCAACGGTAAGGATTTTGAATTCACCAGCTGCTCTGTGGGAAAAGGCGGGCAATCTCCTCCTGTGTGATTTATAGCCTCTGGAAACTTGCTGGAAGGTCAGGTATGAGTTGGTTTGACTCGATAGCACCCAATACCAACAAGAAGCTAGTCTTAAAAAAAAGTCCGATGTTTAAATAAATAAGTAAGTGGAGGCTAAAAAGAATGAGAAAGAGAATAGAGTGCCTCTTGCTGTTGCTTTTTGTTTTCTCCTCTGGTTCTTTTAAAGTCTATGTGCTTTAAACAAGCCCTGGTATTTTTGTATTAGAGGGCTGTGAGATCATCCAATAACTGCAGCTTTGTTTACAACCATTTCAAGCACCAGACACCACGGAAGATCAGTATCAGAAATGTATGTTCCTTATTCACTAAGAAGTACTTTAGAAAGATACAAGTACTACCTAGTATAATCAACTATTCCATGTACTTGTCTTCCTTTCCCCCCTCCTCCTGAAGATAAGTGGGGGTCATGTGACCAGGTCTAGCCAAGGAACAATATGTAGAACTGATATATGACACTTTACCGCAGTAGGAAAATGAGATCTTTAAGCCATAAGAATTCTGATTTATTTGCTGAAAGAGTTCAAATTACCTTCAGATGTCAAATTACTGCACTTTACAGGCTAATATGATCTTCTTTTCTGACAGAAAGATGCTAATAATAATATTTCCCTGTAATTGTATGTATTCCCTTATAATAGTACTTACCACAGGCAATGGTCCAATAGACCAAAGAGTCTGGGGTCTGGTACAGGATCCGGTAGGGAGCGACGCTGGCGCTGGAGTCCAATACAACATCAAGGGTGCCCACCAGGAGGCCTGTGGAAAGGGAAAAAGAGAGGTAAGTATTTTCTCAATGCCTCCAAGATGTTCACAGGTGGTACAGACACACTTTTATGTCAGATGTTCCCAGAACTCTCCTCCTACTGTGCTCGCCCTCAGCAAATGTTCACCTGACACACAGTGGTGCCATCTCTGCTACTTATTCCAACAACGTTCCAGAGAAACCAAACAAGCTCAAAGACAGTCCATCTCAGTTCTAGTCTCAAAAATTAAGCAAGATAACAAAGCTCTTCTGTGCCGCAGGTAAACACACAGCTAGTTACCAAAAAGACAGCTGTATGAACCTACCCAAAGACTCCCCAGAAGAACAACTAGCAATTTGCTCTCTGACCAAACTCCATCACATCATCCAAGCCAAGGCAAGCCTCACTGTTCAGCAATTTATTTGTGAGAAATACAAATAAAGATCTCCTTTACGAATGTTCACTTAGGAAAAGTCAGGGCCTCTTTTTTTTTTAGAAGGAAAGCTGTTGACAACATAAAGGAAATCAAGAGCAGAAAGCAGGTTGGTTACTAGAGCTGGAAGTTGCTTCTAAGAAGTATTCCCAGTATGGCTAGGTGATTTTGTCAGAGGGCATGACAAGGTTACTCCAGTGGTGCAGGAGAGGCGAGACCCTATTTCTCACTCAGCAATCCTTTTTCAACATTCCAAGTTGAGTGCATGTGCAAAGTAATAACAGCAGAGGGTTCTGACAGGTTCAAACTGGGAGTCTTGTGAGTGAAAGTTTCCACTAGCAACCTCTTATCCAATAGTGTCTTCCTCTAAAGAAAGAACTCTAAAAAGAACTATCAAACAGGAATTAGCATCTTCTTTAAAGAGGTCTGCTAAGAAATTATGCAAATCAAATGTTTAGCTGAATATTCAGTTTGTGTTCCCTTTAATTCATATCACCTCAATCTTTTAAACATTTGTTGAAACTTAGCTATTCTTAGTATCAACAACAAGTATGTTGTTTCCAAAATAAGACAGATTGTCATACAAATAACTCTTCTATATTTTTATAAACATATATTGTCTATATCCACACACAAGGGCACTATATAAAGGTGCCTTTTAATTTATCGAAATAGTACTATTTCAATAAAAGATTCAAAACCTATGTTGCCATTTAAATATTTTCTATAATTGTTGAAGAAATGAGGAATCATTCAAAAGTTTGGAAAAGATTCAGTTAAATCAGTACTATCTCAGGTAACAATGATCTATGAGATCTACTACATATTTAGAGAAGATCTTTGTATCCTTATTTATTAAGGTGATCAGTGATATAAAATAGAATATTCTGTTAAGACAAAATTTAGTTTATATTTTATTTATCTCTCCAATGGAAACATACGTCTTTATCCTAAATGGGTTCCTTCTGTAACAAATACCTTCCAGCCTTACCAAACTAGCATGAAACACGAATATTTTCTACATTATTGTAAATCACACCTTTACCCATTGACCCACCCTCCCTCCAATAGAACTTGGCAATGTCGAAGAATTAGAGCCTTCCAGTATGAAGTCAGAGATCCACAAAAATTACATGCCTACACTTTTACCAAAGCCAGACAGGACCCTACATTAATAAGGCATGAGCTAGACGGTCATTTAGAAACCTCGACAAATTGTATAACCTTCTGGCAAAGCTTCTCCCCTTCATCCCAAAGCCTTGGTTCTCTCAGTTGCATAATAGAGATAATGCCACTATCACAAGGTTGCTGTTTGATTGATTATAATAGGAGTGAGATGCCATAAGGTAGTGGGATGAGGTGTCAGGCAATCTTTCTAAAACACATACTTTTTTTATTTTTTATTTTTTTTACAGACTGCGTATTTATTTTCAATGGCTACGGGACGAACTGATGGTGGCTGAGATAAGGACTACGGGCTAAAAGCCCCCAGCTCCTCTGCTATGCCACTGTTGAAATGAAACCACACACCAGAAAGAATCATGTTCAGTACCTCACATGCAGTGCCGTCTGCACTGCAGCTCCACTGAACCTGAATAACAAGGTCTTCTGAATTTATCAGTCCTAAAACACTATTTTGTAAGAATGTTTGGAGGTTTAATCTTGAACCTAATTTGGTCATATGAGATCCACCACCACCAGTTTCCATCTGGGTGATTCTAAATCATGGTGACACATGTGTAATACCCTGACACGTGAAAGCATAATACCACTGGACTAATTTCACTTCAGTTAATACAGGCATAGGTTGGGGATACTGTGGGTTCATTCCAGGAACACACACACACACACACACACACACACACACACACACACACTCATACACACGCACAGGAGTAGCTTTTTTACCCTAACACAAGCCCAAGAAATTTTTTGTTTCTCAATACATAAAGAAATTATTTTATATTATACTGTAATCTATTAAGTATCACACTCAAATGCATTGTAGAGTCAGAAATTACTGACAGCTGATGCTCTAGTGGATTTTTGAAGGCTGTAAATTGTCTGAGCAGAGTTTGCTCATCTTTCACTGGGCAGCTGATGGATTTGAACTGTCAGAGGTGTGGCCTTTGGGTTAGTATTGCAACTCCTTATGAACTAGGCCACCAAAGTGCCCTCTATTCTCTATAAAAAATTTGAAATGCTATGAGAATTACCAAAATGGTTCATGGAGACAAAAAGCAAGAATACACTGTTGGGGAAATGTCACTGATACACTTGCTCAACAAATGGTTAACACAACCACCTTCCATTTGTTTTAAAAAAGTGAAAGTAAACCATATTGTATGTTAACGTTCTGGTAGTTTATAGTCACAGGAAAACCTGTAATTTAAGGGTCAGAAGATTTCACTTCTGGTTCCAGTTGTGTTATCACCACTTCTGTAATCTGAGATCGGCCATTTAACTTCTCAGAGCTTTGATTTCCTCAGTAGTAAACAGCATTTGTCTTCCTGCTCTAGGGTTATTCCTCAAGAAGCCTAAGTAGGTAAACCACAGGAAAGTACTACAGTTGCCCTTGGTCTCTGTCCAAGGGCAAGAAACTCATTTAGATTCTCTTCAAACCACAGTGGCCATTAACTGACCTGAACAAGCTACAAGGGGCGGGGGAGTAAATACATGTATTTTTCCTGTAGAAATTAATTTGCTTTGCTCTGGCGTAGATGAAACACATTAAAATAAAGGTCTTAGAGTCTACAGAGATTTGCAAGGGGTCTGTTTTTTGTTATGTGCCATCGAGTTGCCTGAGACTTACAGCAACCCTATGTACAACAGCTCTGAACCCTGAGCCAGTCTCACTGACTGACACACCTAATCTCACTGCCCCAGTTACTGTGTCAATCCATCTCATCTGGGGGCTTCCTCTCCTGTGCTGTCCCTCTACCCTTCCGAGCATGACGTCCTTCTCTATGGACTGGTCCCTCCTGGCCACGTGCCCAAAGGATGTGAGAGGGAGCTTCAAAATCCTAGCCACCAAGGAGAGACTTGGAGGCAAGTTTATTCCTACTGTTAGCAACCATCTAATCAACTTCAACCCTGACCTAGGGCAACCTTATTTATGCACAACAGGACAAAATATTCCCTAGTTCTGCTTTCTCTCTTCCATTTCCAGCATGTGCCAGTCACCATTGAGACTACTGTTATTATACTAACCCATCTCACCAAGGGTGTCTCCTTTGTCACTGACTCACCCTCTCCTTCACCAACTGTGATATTCTCCTCTAGCAATTTATTCTTTCTGATGGTGCCCAGAGTGAGGGACCAAAACGGAAGACACTGTACAGCTGTGATCCTTAATCTTTTCCATGAATACTCTACATCACTAGAGCTTCCTGCCTAGTTGGCCTTCGTCTGAAAGCTCTGCTGAAATCTGTCTACCACGGGTGTCCTTGGTGGTATATGAAATACTGGTGGCGTAGTTTCCAGCATCATGACAATATGCAAGTCACCGTATTTCAACAAGCTCACAGATGGGTGGGAGATGGAGTGAGGACTGCCAAGTAAATGCTACTTCACTAACCTTGAAGGTACATTCACAGCTGCCACCACCAACTTCCATTAGAGGAAAACTAACAGATATATACACAGCTAATAAGATGGACTGACAGTGACGGTAACAATTGGGCTCACATGTGTCAGAGCTGGTGCTATGGCACGGGGTCTGGAGGTGGTGTTCATAGGGTCATTAAGAGTCGCAGTAGACTCAATGACACATAAGAATATCTTCATCACCACAAGGTTTATGTTGAAACGTTTGAAGGTAAATTACGGACAGTATAATACTGCGATACTCCTATTACATACTTTGATGGTGTAATAGCTTAGTGCTTACCTACTAACCAAAAGTTGGTGTTTGGGACCTACCCAGAGCTCTGTATGAGAAATTCCTGGCTGGCAATCTGTTCCCATAAAGTGAGCCTAGAAAACCCCACATAGGGGAGTTATAAGTAAGAATCAATTTGCAGGTACCCAAAGTATACAGCAACATGTTGTTGTTATGTGCTGTGAAGTCAACTGGCACTTACATCAACTCTATAGTAGCTCTGAACCCTGTTATCCTGTGCCAACCGCACTGTTTCCGACACACCTGTCTCCATTACCCCAGTCACTGTGTCAACCGATCCCATTTCTGACACAGCAACATATTAGGTACATATGAAAGAACAGGATTTTTTTTAATTGTCTGAGAACTTAAAGCGCTGGATATACAATCAAAAAGAATACCGTTGGCCAGACAACTCAATATGTTAGCTCCTACTACATTAACTTAGACGTGCTGAGAGAATTTCCTTCCATCTAGAAACATGGGCTTAACCATCCACTCTTGGCCCTTCACCTCCTCGAATTAAAACTGTCAATTATTTAATGCCACATCCTTGGTGGATCTAACTCAGCTTTCTATACTATTTTTTTTTGGTCCATAATGCCTATTAAATTATTTAAAAGTACTCTCTACATCCTGCTCTGTTCTGTTCCCCATCCACAGTCTGGGAACCCCTTACCGGCAGAATCGACTGCATTCC